CCCCCCCCCCCGAAAATGTAAGTTACAATAAAAAGGTCCCCCCTCCATTTTGAGTGCCCAAGGGGGTGGTGATGTCGCGTCTTATTCCTAGTAGTAGGGCCAGGAGCTACTGGTAGCGGCCTTGCTACTAGTGGCGATGCCCTTTGTTACTAGTAGCGTCTTATTCCTAGTAGTAGGGCCAGGAGCTACTGGTAGCGGCCTTGCTACTAGTGGCGATGCCCTTTGTTACTAGTAGCGTCTTATTCCTAGTAGTAGGGCCAGGAGCTACTGGTAGCGGCCTTGCTACTAGTGGCGATGCCCTTTGTTACTAGTAGCGTCTTATTCCTCGTAGTAGGGCCAGGAGCTACTAGTAGCGTCCTTGCTACTGCCATCAAGGCACTGCATCAGCCTCGGCCATCACCGCCTCGCACGGGAACTTCCCACTGGCCGCCTCTCCGCTGAGCATCACTGCATCAGCCCCATCGAACCTCGCGCTGAAAACGTGGTGCACTGGAGTGAGACTGCGGAAGGATGTACAGTAACGGTGAAGGCTTTTTGGTGCACAAGTCCAGTTGTTTTCTTTTCCGTCACCCCGTCACCTTCTCCTAGGGGTTGTTGTGACCTGCATGTATTCTAACGAGCTTCCTCCAGCAATACGGACTCCAAAATAGAAGATAAGTTTATCGAGCAGTCTCAAAGCAGCCAACATCTGAATCTTGAGGGTTCCTGTTCGGACCATGACTACTGCTCTTCAACACGATTGGACTGGATGATCAATCATGAAGTCCTACCAGGAAACAAACATGTGTCTCGAACACGCCCAAGCAATGATAAACAATATATATATATGTACATATATATATATATAATTTCGGTTTGTATGTTGGAAACAATTACGGTGCCCACGTTTCGCGTTCCTGTTGAGTCTCTTTCAAGACCCCACCTGATTCCCTATGTTTACACTTTGACTCTTTAACTTTTCCTTTGGCAATTCAAGCACAGCAAACACAAAGGTGAATGAAGAGGAAAGGGGGATCAAAGGGCAATAGTCACTGCGTGGGTATCCCTATGAAGTTTTCGCTGGTACTTTTTGATTCGACAGAAGTGTGAAGGGGACGCAAAGCGACGTAACGGAAGCAGCCTCAAAAGTGTCTCGAGCTTAGGGGATTAGTAATTAAAGCTCTTTCAGGGTTCATGGTTGGATCATATGGCGCTTGCTCGGGCTGCTTGAAGTAAGAGGAAAACCAACTAGCACCACGGAGAGGATGAAGCGAAACCATCTGTCTGAATCACGGAGAAAACGGCTCTCTCCCTTACAATAGGGGATAATAAATGAGGAGGGACAAATCAGCCAGGTGGCACTGCATTTTGCAGGTCGCACACTTCAGACCGTGTGGGCACGGGATTTTCGATCATGCTCTCCTGAGCTTCAAGCGTTCAAATCAAGAAGCGCAAATCAACTGCCCCAAGCCACCAAACTGCTTATCCCTTTGATCTTTAAGGAAACTGGTAGGTGCATGTGAATGAATCATTTCTGCTCGAATTTCACGTCAAAAAGAGCTGGTCCATGCTGATCTGTGTCCAAACTGCCAAGCCCGCCCACTGCCCTTCTGTGGGAAGGCAGCTTCAGCCGCTTCAGCCCAGTGGCGACCATTTGGGTGGCATTGATGACAAAAAGTCCGGCCTTGGCGCCAAACATAAGAAGCCGCCAGGGTCACCAGAACGATGAACATGGGAGTGGCTGGGGCAAATACGCAACTCATTGCGGCAAAACCTTATTCTTGACATTCCTCAAGTTCTCTCACTTCCTACTTCTCTTCACAAAAAAAAGATTGCTTACAACTTAACTTATACCTCGAAGCTGTGTTCTGAAACATCCAAGGCCGAAAAATCCCTCAAGCTCAAGTCCACTGAAAGACGTCAAATAACATTCAGAATAAACAATGATTCACGGCCCGGTTCCCACGCCTTCTTGGCTCGGGCAATCAGCAGTTTCTGTGCGAAGGGCACACGCTCCAGCTCGAGCTCAACGCCCAGGTCACCCCTAGTGCTGTCGTTCGATTCTTGAGATTGTCAAAGAGTTGGAGTGAGGATTATTGACGCAAGCTTTTATCAAACATGTGTCCAAGCTAAGGTTCAGTCATCCAAATCCAAGTATTTAAACCTGAATGGCTAGGATTTCTGCTTACACATGCTGGTTCACATGTTAGTGCGGTTGAACGGTCCTGCAATACATACAACTCTCTGGAGTTTCCTCTTCAAAATCAAAGCCACGCCCCGTTGGAAATCCTGGTGGCACATGAACTTTCAGGCCCACAAATGGAGTGCATGGGACCGATCAAACAGGCCTCTCATTTTAGGCGCCTTGCTACCAGCATCTACCAGCAATGCGGCGCACCTTGCTACCATCAACGCCTGTGACTTCTCAATGATGCCCTCGATGTTGGTCAATGCTTGTGGCTTTTCGATCTTCGGGCAAATCTTCCTGGGCAAAGTCACAGCCGCAACCACCAAGTAGTGTCACACACGCTCGTCTGTCCTTTCCTGTTGAGCTGTGCTCAGCTGACGAACCTGTGATTGAATAGAACATGTAGCAGGAAACCTGTCAAGAACCAGCCAAGGCAACTTCCTGTTACGGAGCCATCCACTGTCCCACACTCCTCCCCACAGGTCCGAAAAGTCACCCTTCCTAGTGCCATGCGGCGGACGTTTGTCAGCTGGAACCTTCAAGCGATCCATGATGTCGATGAGCTCTTGCAGATCCTGACCCTTCTGAGCGAAAGACACCTGGGTAGCTGGCGTGTGGGCTGTGGTATTTACCAGCAGGACGCACAATGGATCCAATATTAGAGCTGCATGCCTTGAGGGTTGCGCCGCCCTTGAAGGACTTCGAAGAGCACACACCCTTCACAAATCTGAAAGTCATGTTCCGGAATTGCTTCGTGCAGCTCAAGATGCGCAAATGTACTCCACGGGAGGATCAAGTTGCAACAAATACTCGGCATCTTCGATGTCCTTGTCCAGACAGGCATCGCATCACAAAACACACACATGCCCCCATTGGCATCCGTTCTATGCTTGAGAAATCCACCAACATTAAGCAGTAGACACTTGTTATATAAATGTCTGAATTCCGAATGACATAAGTAAGGTAGTCCTCCATGAACACTTTAACCCTGTGCCACCCGACAAACATCCACGCCTTTGTGGTGAGGGCAGCGCAATCGATCTCACAATCGGGCACATTCACGCCCTTGCGAGCCTGGGGATCACACAAAAGCATTGCAGAACGGACATGGTGATGTCATGCAGAAACTCCAAAGATCAGGTCTTTGAGTTTCCACGAATTTCTGTGCAAATCTCTACATACAAAACAAGGAAAAGTTTCAGTCTAGAGTGTTCTTGCGCGGGGGATCTTTAAGAACCCCTTGCAGCGTGACTTGGTGACATGGTTGTTTGATGGATTTGGCCTTCAGCTTTCCTCCACGGATGATCTTCACCTTCAACTCCTGCAAAGTGGGCATTGCATGCGACCGAGGCAAAGCCATGCTCTTCGCAACATGTTGCCCTCGCAAAAACATGTACGACATGTACACAAACAGTATATATATATATGCATATAGTACTACATACACGTTCGCTCCTCGTGCCTTCTTCAGTCTCACGGACAGACTCGAATCGATCCATCAACACACTGGTGCACTCAAGCCTACTGGTTCAAACAACCATGGAGTCTCTTCTGCCAGCAACCCTATTCCCCCAGCCCAGTGAGGCGCCGTGTCGGAAATCTTCTCCACTACGTTGACCTGCAGTCGGAACATGCTGGACGGTCCGACGATACAGGTCGCAACTGAGCCAATATCCCTGCCTTCATAATGCCATCTTCGATCAGCAAATCCTCGGCTGGTCTAGCGGCTCGGTTGCGGGCCCTCATTCAGATTTGACCGGCCGCGCGATGCTGCACGCTTGGGGCTTTTAGACTTTTTTATCCACAGCCATCTGAGAGGATGACAAACGTGAACACGTTGTCACCCGTCACAACTCGGAAAGCAGTGAACCCATGTCATGTGAACCCCTTCTTTCCCCAACATCCAACTACCAAAGATTTGCAGCCCATCACCCCCAGTAGCCCAGACCCCACGTATCTTCTCACCACGGTGATAACAACCATAAAATTCAAATGCCAAGAGTCAATCCCAACCTTGCAAGCCTTCACAAGTGCCAGCTGCTCAGTGGTGGGTTTCATGGTGATGCGGCCCGGCTTGATGAGGTCATTGTCATCCTACAGTAGAGGTGAAGATTCAGCATAGGCTCCGTCCCATGCATTTTCAGAAAGACGTGAGTCATGTGAGAATGGAAGCCAGGGATGTGGAGCTTGATCAAGTCAGATTTCGACTTTATCTCCCGTGTGATGTCCCTCTCTCATCTCCCATTCTGCACTTCCTCATGAACGGCCCTGTCCTTGCAAATGCCAAATTCCACAACCTCGCCTTCCTTCAACGGCACTGGCTCACCCTCCAATTCCCCCACACGGAACTTGGGGCCCTGCGCTGCTTCGTTGTGTCGCATCATTGAAAACTTGCCATATCAAATACATGTATATAACAATGAATATAAAACATATATATAGTATTTTATTACTATTGTTATTGCTATATATATATATAATGTGTCTTTACTTGGCGGTTAGACTCCGTATATACTCCGTATCTTATGCCCTGGAATGTGCTCCACTACATCAACCTTTCGAATGTGAGAAAACACTAAAGCTATACTAAAGCGGGCGTCGTTCAACCAAGCAATGATCACCGCGGAGGGGCCTGCAGGTCTCCCAAGACTTCCACACGACGGCCCAGCATCTTCGAATACTTCCTGTCCACAATTCAACACTCAAGGCGAGACTGGGGATTCGGGGTTCGCATCAAAGCTAGATCTGTAAGGAGACATCAAGGTCAAGTCCAGAACTTCCAGGGGCTAAAGGAACAAGAAGCTAACTAGACTAGGGGCTCCTGGCCTTACTACTAGGAGCAAAGGACGCTACTAGGGGCATCTATGCGTTCGAGGTCAAGCCTGATCAATGGGTAGACGCGCTCGAAGTCGCCACCACGACGATGGGAGCAGTTCAAACGGAAAATGTCCTTGCCAAACGAGTCAAGAAACGGAGAGAACTGAGAGAACCATCTCCATAACAGTGAGCCGACTAGGATACTGTTCTAGATGGTTCTAGTATGTTCTAGTCATGTTTAGGCTTGTATGGGTTCCGTGTTTGATGCCATTCAGAAGGCCAAGTCCTCAAGGATCCGTACCGAATTCAACAATGGAAAGGAAAAACACCTGTTGGGGCACTCTGGGGCACATGGCAGTCCAATGGATAAGAAGCTTGACTAGGTAGATGATAATGTATATAATGTACTGTAAATATGTGTGTATAGGTATTTCGATCAATAGGTACACCTAGACCTACACTACATAGTTAAGCAAACCAAAGCACACAAAACATCCCGAAACTGGTTTGGTCGAGGAGAATTCATCCGTTTCAGTTCATGTCTTTTGTGGAGACACGCCAGGGTGCCAGAGTCATCTTTTTGCCAAGGTGCAGTTCCTGCTTCGATCATCTTGGGGATCATCTCCTCGCTCCAAGATGCGGGCCCCAGGCTGGCCACAACCTTTGTCTTGCCTCACTCCACGTGTTCATGAGACTTCGGGTGGTTCGAGATAGTTTAGACTGCACAGTGACTGCACTACCTGCAGTGAGTTGGGAGACTCCGCGTAAGGTCAGGACGTTTGCTGTGATCCAGCTCCTGAGTGAAGCTGAACGACTGCCAGGTCTTATGCTCAGCCTTACATGATCTTACATGGCACTTTTGCACTGGGCATGAGCACTGGAGACACAACTGCCAAACAAGCAATGGATTTCCACGAAGGGCAGCTTTTCCATGCGACCATGCGCCACCCACTGCGAAAACAATTGCCGTCCCAAAAGGCTTGTGTAGCTTGCCACTTGCACTAATCACTAATCAAACAAAAACTACAACAGACTTTCATTTGACCACTTCTCCCAAATACTTCTCTCCTTCCTCTTCCCCAGTTTCTGCTCTCCTGCGGCTTGAGGGCCATCTTGCAGTCGAGGACATTGGCGTTTGCGCCTCCCAATGGTGGCAATGTGTGTGTGTGTGGGTGGGTGTGTTTGAGGAGGCCAGCAAAACCCTATCCAATGCTGCCGCGCTGCTATATTTGTGCAGGATCAATGCCAGGGTGAACTTGACATACTCGGGGAACTTAATAAGGGAAACAGCCTTGGGATCCAATGAGTGACATGACATGACTGGTTAAGCGCCCACTCCACAGAGTTCTGGGCTTCACGAGGCCAAGCAACAGGCTCACCATCGCGGCCGCAGCCAGTGAATGCATAAACCGAGTCCTGCTGCAAAGACCACCCGTACCTGAGATGTTTGGATCCGTGATGAGGGCCCGAACATCCTTCAAGGTTCAGCAATAGCTTGCCCAAGAATGAAACACTTTGTCTACAGTATATAGTTTTTTAGAGCCATTATGCTTTGAGAGGGTCCCCTTCTCTTAATTGGCAAAATTCAAGACTACCGCGCTTGCCAAGGTGCTGGTTCTTGAGGATCGCCTGGGAAAACGCCTCGGGCAAAGCCTGCAGGTTGCTGGACTTCTGAAAAGGTCTGCTTGGTCTAGCATCCCGCATCCCAATGAATCTCTCCAAGGACAACACCTTTTTTAACATGTCGAAGTTTCGGATGCACTTGCAAACAGCCAACCCTCTGGTGCCTCCAGCAACGCTTTCCAAAGGTTGCAGCCTTCAAGCTTTTCACTCTGGAAAGCCTGAGCGTGCTTGGTGTCAGCTTCGATCATCACAATTGAAACCTGCCCTGTAACGGAAAGACACTGCATTGCTACAAGCTTTCCCAGAAGCTTTTGCGCCCAGCCAGTTGCAGTTTGCAGGTCAAACTCCGCTCATGCTGCTCAGAGACATCGTATTTCTTGAAAATGGTCCAGCACCTGATTGACCAAGCCAGCAAAGCAAAACGTAATGGAGTTCTTACACTCGCGGGCAGGATATATAAAAGGAACCAAACGAGCTACTGCACGCTTAAGGTGTAATTGGTTTAGAAAGGACTAGTTATGTGCAATACAAGTCAATGGTTGAAGTTAAGAATTGGCAGGAATTGCAGCCAACCGTCTAGAAAGGCCCAAGTGTGGCTGACAAGGCACTCGTCCAGGAACTCCTCACAGGAATCAGAAATTGCTTGGGTGCATGGAGCTTTATGGAGCATATCCAAGCTCAATCGGAATCAGCGTGCCAGAACAAGACAAATCCCTCTCCTTTGCCTGCACTTTGCTCCGTACTGCCTTAGGCAGCCTGGGCGTTGCTGGAAATGCTGGTGAAATGTGCGCAAGGCTCCACATGGCTCCACAACAGGCCTGGGCACCCTCCACACTTAGCATATACCCCCTCGGACGACCACAAGCAACTACGAACACCACAAGCAACTACGAACACACTTGGTAGAAGCAAAAAAGGATCCTACCTTTGCGTCCATTGCGCATGCAGGAATATAATCATCCACAACAAACGCAAGCCCGGCACGCAGCCGGATCAGCCGGCTTTTTTTGCTCCACTTCACTCGTAGTACGGTGTCTCCATACCCCAAGAACGGGATGAAACCACTGTGCCTCTTGAGCAGCTTTCCCACGTTGATGTCCTCACGCTGGTACATGGCCTTAGCTTCACATCTGCAAGTGTGGATTTGACTTGTGCTCTACCCATTCCACGCCAGTCGGTCTAGACGTTTGGTGCATGAATATATTTTTTGCGATCCCAGTCGAGTCGATAGGTGCTTCAGCACTTCTGATATAGTGTGCATGTGTGTGTGAGCGCATGTCTGATGTTTTGGAAGGAGCGGGGACTACATACAACTGGAATAGGCTGCCTGTGATGCACCATCTCAAGAGCACCAAATGCCAAGGGGCGAATGCTATGTCTCAGGTGAAGTCGACGCTTTCCCCGGCTTTATGAATTGCCCGAAAATGTTCTGAAAGAGCCAACAAGGCATGCGTGGGACATTGAATTGAAAAAGCCAGAGCACGGCTCGTGAATGAGCATGTCATGCCAGTCAGGCCATGATCTCAAATGGTGCCAACAAAATCAGAGAATGTTATATACAAGTAGAAAGTGCTGGCGATCAAACAGTGTCCCAAAGAACTACACTAGGCCACCCGAAGATATTGACAGCGATTCTGTGCCATGACAGCCATTGACAATCCCCTTGCATTGCCCATCACACCTGATGTCTTGCCATCGGGCTGCACCTTGGACACCAACCCTTGGCCACCCAGCTCGAGTCCTTTGATGCAGCATCCTATCATCACATGTCCCCGTCTCCTAAGAGTCTCCTTCAGGCTCTACATCTGACATGCGGCCATCATTAACATTCATCAAACATCTATGATTCCATGACAATCCCTGATGATCAACTACACCAAGAACCTCCCACCTATCACCAATTCACAAAACACCCCCAGCGACGAGGCGGGGGCATCCGCGGCACGCGCGTCTGCCGGCCCGAGGCTGCGAAAAAATCAGCGGCATGAAAGGATGCCATCGGCATTGCAATGTTGGAGAATGACAAGCAGATAAACATATAAGCTAGTAGAAACAATAAGCTACTAGGAACAAGCGCATCGCTACTAGTAACAAGTGCCATACTAGTAGTAACAAGAAGCTAGTAGAAACAATAAGCTTATTTAGACAAAAATCATAAACTTCTGACCAGCCCAGGAAAATAAGTCCGAGAACGTTGCTGAGAAGCTTGTCCCACCACATCTTCGAATAGTGGGCAGGACTGGTCGGACTAGGTGACTGGGGTAGAAGCCAGCAGTTTTTCTATGTGTTTCTTGACGCTGGCCTCTCATCTAGGTGCCTTGCACCGCAAGTGTTCCCTTCAGGACACTGTGCAGGCAGGGCACAGTGGGTGGCCAAAGGTATATATGTACAAGGGCACATTGTATGCAAATATCCGTAAAGTATGAACATCGGCATACAAAGAGTAACAGCAAAGCTTGCAATTCTAGGCATTCTTCGCATGGCGAAGCTCCTGCGCTTGTCCTGCCACAACGGTTGCCCAATGCGATCTGCATTGGATTTCTTGTGAGTCATTCCCCTCACCCCTGTTTGCAAGTGTTGGCTGCTGTTCAGTGCCTTCACAAGACTCCTCCCATGGCAGCACATAATCATCAACCATCCCCGGGCCATCCCCCCCTAAAAAGGAACGGCTGTGAGGCTGTGTTACTCCATATTCCGCATCTCACCCCACGTTGAAGGCTTACCGTCTTAAGCTCACAGTCCGGGCCTCCGGGATTAGGAGTCAACAGCCAAGAACATGAGACAGGTCTCTGTATTCAGAAAGGCCTTGCGCTTCAGGGCTGATGACATTGCACATACATCTCCGTCTTTACAAATTGCAAGAAACTGAAGCGTCTTGTGGATGTTCTCTGTGACGACGGCGCGTGTTGACTCATTGGTTATATAATGTTGATTTGTTGGCTCAACTGACGGATGCTGATGGGGCTCGTTCTGGCATACAGTAGACGGGGCAGCCATGTCTCATGCAGATCAATCAACAGTTCAAACAAGCCTCGATTGGGACAATGTGAAGCAAAGTCCTAAACACAGTAACTCCAATCTTTAAGATTTGGAACTCTGACCTTCAGTCCCAGAGTCTCTTCATACATAATTATCTATATACACAAAACGCCAAACGCTGCTATCGCTCTGGTGCCTGAAAGAAGGGCAAGGCTTGCGTAGCTGATGAAGGTGATGCTTCGGCCAGCTTGGCCTGCACACCGAACCGAACTTTCCGACTATCCGACATGGATACCATCGTACACTACAACTTGTACACCCTCGAACAAAGGTAAAAATTGACGAAACTCACTGCCTTCTGAAGGACTACTTCCTTTGGTGCAACAATTGCTTGAAGGCGCATTGAAGCACAAAGGGCCTGGTGGGTCTGACCCAGCATATTAACATGTTGAAAACAACCCGCCTGGGCTATCAAGCCAAGAAGCCCAAAATATTATGTATATTATATACACACATATATATAAATATATATACACACCGTTATACACCGTATATGTATGTATATGTATCATTAGTATTAATTGGTTAGCATCCCTTGATGAAATGACTACCATGATATACAGAATGTTCGTCTAACTCGGCCGGCCTTTTGCTTAACTTTGAGGCTATTATATATATATATATATATTATATATGTTCTTTTGTATTTACTTGGGTGCTTGCTCGTCACGCGGCAGCAACGGAACCCAAGAAGTGCCCGAACTTGCCACATAAATTTTGGTTTGCTGACTGTGTCCACTATGTCAGGCTATATATGTATATATATGTTAAACCCATTTCAGAGAGACAAGGCCGTTGCATTTGAACACCAACCATCAAGCAGGGTTCTCTAGCACCATTGTTTCGCTTGCATCTCCCTCTCTCTCTCTCTCTATGACAGGGTGCACTCAGCTTTCAGGCATCCAGCGGCTCGCCAAACAAAATAACAGCACATACTAAAATACAATAGAGCTATGCCCCCCAGAGCATTTGCATTTTTTCCCTTCTGCTTCGACATGCAGGTTTGTCGGTTGCCCATTGTGGGATCAGATCCAAACAATTCATCTCATGAGAAATGGCCATGCGCGAGATTTATGAGTTTCTCCTGGTTCACTCATCTGACCCCGGACAACTCACCCTCTAGAGACGGCAGCAAAACGCGGTCGGAAAGGATGCCGGCATGTGCCGAGACACGGGGTAAGTTTAAGCCTCAGATGTGCATGGCAAGTCTCACATGAATGTCATAATGATCACAATGTAGTAATGTGATCTTGATTCTCATGGTTTTTTAGGACCCCCTTTCTGGCCCAAACCCACTGATGTCATCTTAGGACCCTGGTTGATGCCATGGTTGTGACATGCAGGAAGATCTCTCAAAACGCAGCGCCCTGTCTTTCTGCAGCCAAGCAGCACTCATGTGCCGGAAGGGACGGCCGGTTCGGATGCCGGTACGGCCATCACATCCTCCACCCCGAACTGGGACTCACCAGCCAGCACCGGGTGCCGGTAGGCAAACCACAGCACGGTTGTGGCAACATGGCAGGACCCCCTGCTAGTTTCCAGGGGGTGCCCCATGCATAGATTGCCGCAACACTGTACCAGGTCAAATGGATGCATCCACCTGACGGGGGGACCTCGCAGGCCCCGCCTTAGCTTTGGGGGCGGTGTCTTGAACTGAAAATGAGTGCATGGCTACATGAGGCTGCATGCTGCTGCAGGTGGCCTCAGACCCGAGCACGAAGGTCCGTCGACCAGTTGTCATTTAAACTGGCTCAGTTCAGGGTCCTAGTCAGTGCTCGCCGCGTGTTCAATAAGATCAATATAGATCAATCAGTGTCAACCACGTGGAGTTGCATGTTGTTCTTTACAGTGTTGGCAACACATGTAATTTGTTTGTGGAAGAGCGGCTTGCACTGCCCATTGCACTCCTATTGTTCGCACCCCTGCTAAGGACAACCAAAAAAAGACAATCAGTGCAGATTGCAGAAATCTACCAGGAGAAGTGGAGAGCAGCAAAGACATGATCTACAAATACCATTCAACATCATTCGACTAAACTGCCGTTCTGCATGGATGTTATTGGATGATAGGAGAAAATCTCAGAAGCAACCGGGGGGAAGGAAGAAATTGTGCGAGAAGCAGGCTGACCTCAAAAGCAAGCAGCTCCAGGCTGGTCCTGGATCAGAGCGCCGAGCGGTGCCTGGGGTGAATCGTGCTGTACATGGAGTCTCTTACCCCGGCCTCCCATCGCCGAGCGAGGTCGGCAGTGTTTCCCCGGAATTCGGAACGAAAAACTTGTTGCAGGCCACAGTTGGTGTGTGTGTTTGTGGAATCTCCGAATCGGTTGCATGTCCGCTATCTGTGGCTCGCACGACAAGTGAATATCAATATTTTAAAATATATTTCGATTTTGCTCCACAGCTTTGCACTACAATAAGCAAAGAGGATCAAAGAGGATCAAAAGCATCCTGTGAAAGTATCCCTGAAAATGGAAACGGCTGTGAAGCATAATCGCCAACAAGCATTGCAGACCAGTTCTGTCCAACAAGCTGTTTCAAGAGCGACATCGCGCATATTGAAAGAATCAATTGAAGCAACTCGGGCTTCCCGGAGTAAAAAGGCAGGTGATTGTCTTGTGGTTCAAGGAACGTTGAGGATACACCAAAACAACTCTACGCGAGATGTCTGCCGTGGGCGAGGCAAGTCGAGTATACTGAGACCATTGGGCCGCTTACGCTGAACAGGTCTGCCGTGCAGGACTTCACAACAGAAAAGCTGCATGAATTGCATGATGCATGAAAACAATGAGAACCAGCACCAATCCGTAAAGGCCATGCAAACTTTGAGAGAGCAACTAGGGATCCAGCGCCGCCAAAGAACGATTTACTGCAATATTAACATGTTTTAAACTGCGGATCTTGGACACATTAGTTTCAAAGACCTGAAGACATGCGTGGGACGTTGTGACATTGGACAATAGAGCCGCGTTCAAAGGAATGAATCATGTGGATGCAGTGCTTCTTGTTAATAGTAGCTTCTAGCTACTAGTAGTAATGCCCTGTTCCTAGTAGCGATGCAGTGCTTCTGTGATCTTCCACATGCATGACGGACCCACAACGTCATTTCGCATCAGCCCAATGATTCGGCCCGTGCAATTCGCCACAGACCAGCACAATCATGTTGCAACATGTGGCAGCGCGTTAGCTAACTGACTTAGCAGCATTCTACATCCTCTACTTCAACCTGAGTTCAACCTCCTTAGCCTTTGCTCAAATCCAGCCTCTTGAAATGTACAACATGGTCATGTGCCGATCTACTTCGCCTTGATTCCTGCCCAGGTGCCAGTCTAGCTTCTCAAACACTCGTTGCCGAGTGTTTGCCCTAAACGCTGGCGGAGCCGACTGTTTCTCAATCAGCTATATACAAAAACACTCAGTCACAACAAGCAGCTGGCTGACCCTCAATCCTCACTACATCCTGACCGGCTGCGAAGATTCTGCACTTTCACAACACCAGCATCCAGGTTTTAGTCAACTGGCAGCCACCCCAAGCGTTGAGCAGAAACCCATGAGGAGGGCGATATGCAAAAACATGAAACGTGACAGCTCCATTTCCACAATGAAAAAGAGCCACGGACTTGAGAGTTCTCATGGGCTCTACATTACACGTCTTTGAAAAGAGGTATATATATATATATAAGAATAACCACCGAACCCTTGCAGCAAAAGCACACTTCGTAGTATCCTCAAAGCTTCCCTCAAATCTCGCTGGCACGTTTGAACGGAAGATGCATGATCCACTCAGTACACTCTTCTTACTCCTGAATCGCCTGGCGCAAAGTTGCGATCAAACGTGATGAAGGACCCCAAAGGTTGTTCAATGACTTACCTTTCGATTCAGCTTGCGAACGCAAAAACCATAGTTATAGTCGCCATGATACTCATACACAGGTATGCGGTATGCGTCTGTCGAATGGGGTTCACTTGATCATCCTTGTTACCAGCGAGCATTCACCGCGGCCAAGACCAGACTAACAAGCCAACAAATACCATGGCGCCCATGCTGACCCTCACCAATGAGGATTACCTATAGCCCAACCAGGAAATCGCACTGATCTCAAATCAGTGATTCACCATTTTCACTTGCTACCAATCAATTCTCTTTCATCTACAGACCTAGTTAGTCTATGCAGTGATCATGTCCCAACTCAAAACGGTTTCTTCAAGAAAGTATATATTGAAGGAGAATCGCCTCCCAAACAGCATTCGACTCATTCGACCCAAGCTCAGGTTCAGAGGAGATCCCTCTTGAGATGCTGCTACCCTTGGCGGATCTCGGCTCACAGATCCATGCTAAGCTGCTAAGCTGCTAAACCTCCCCAGAACGTCCGGCCTCAAGGGTTCGCATCGTGGCTGTACGCCCGAGACGTCCACAGCGCCCAAGACAGGCCATCTTTACCCAGCCCTCCTGGCCAAAGGAAAGTGATTCAGTGGAAGCCCATAAACCAAATGCTACATGACATACTATGATCACGCAGGAATATGGCCCAAACTCAGGAAAAAAGTAAACCTGAAATCAGGAACCCCCGAGCCACTAGCCACTAGCCTAGAATACTGTTGGGAGAGGTCGTGTTGCCTCAAGTGATGTCGCTCCAGTTCTACCACACACACAGACATATGACATATATATATATGTGTATATATATATATAGTGTGCATCCTAAAGTCCTCCCGTCTCTCCCAGTCCTACACGGAACTCTACTACTGGCCAGCGGAGATCTAAACTAGTCCATTCGACTTCTGCCAAAGCCCACTGCATCGGCTAACGATGTTCTGCCCACAGCTTTCCGCTCACAAGTGAGCATTGGTGTCGTTGAGCAACACTTCAACCATTGCAAATGGGAGACACTTCACACGAGCAGCAGCATGATTTTCATAGTGTCAAAGAATGTGGCTGGTACGGGTTACTTTTGTCTTGGACCACTTGGCGTGCTCTGAGTGCTCCTTGTCAAAGGCGGAGAGCTTTTGTAGCGCAGTCCTTGCTGCTTTCTCAACTGCCTGATTCCCAGGGTACCTGGCAAATGACTACACAGTAATCAGTAATTCATCAAAATCCCACCCCCCTCGAAAGCGTATTGATGGGCAAACCACCACGCCCCGTGTCTTGAAGTCCCGTTTGACTAACCAGGGCGAGAAACTCTGAAATCCAACAGAATCTTATCTCAGCACAATGCTGAGTAGCGGTTGTTGGCTGTAGGGCTAGCGCTCGCTAGATTTTTGGACTGGTTTGGGCTACCTGTTTCTCTGAACAACGCTCCCGATTTTCTACTGTACATGACAATGATATGTGGGAAATCTGATCAGAGAATTCGCTCCCACTGTGGCTCCCACTCCCACTGGCTTGGCTACTATGACTCTGCTTTCACATGTCTTTTCTCCACACTGGCGCACTTCTCCACTGCCTTCAATGCGGCCTGGATGGCCGCCGAGAAGGTCGCCCTGTCCTTGCAGCTGGCCATGTGCTCTGCCAACTCCTCCGAAGAAATCATCCACTCTCGACCCTCGGACCTGCATACTACTGGTATATAGCAAGAAGCCACCAGTACTAGTATATAAGGGTTCAGTCTTGTTTTGGCCTGTTCAATTTGGCCTCCATCTGTGTCCGAGGCTGTTTCTATTATTTCTATTGGCAGTTGCCAAGAGAAATAGCGGCTGCGGCTGTCGCCACTTGTCTTACAGCAAAAACCAGAATAGTGAAGCGGTATGGAATTATGAAAGGTACAAAAAATGAATCCAGACTAAACGGAATATTTCAACAAAAGATATAAGACTGTAACGATAACAATTAGATACAATAAGTAATCATAAATGTATAAAAGGGTTGGTTCGGCGTGATTTATTTCTCAAGGTTTTCCTCAAGCGGGTGAGGTGGTGTTTGCCAGCAGGTCTTTCAATCCATGTCATTGAAACTGAAACATCTTCAAGGCTGGCCAAGTTGGCTCCTTCAAGAGCCAGCAGCCGGCTTCTTGCACGCGGGCCTCCAATCGATGTGCCTCGAGCGCCTCCAACACGCAGCGGCAGCTCAGAGGGTGAATGCCCATCAAAGCTGGAGTGGTTGATTCATTACGGAAGCTAAAGGCTGGTTGAACATCCACATGTGGAACAACTTTGTTACTTTTGGTTGGCATTGGACCGACGTCAGATGGATGGCGCCGGCGGCTTTCCTTCTGGGTGTGAAATGAGCTGAATGAGAGGAAGAGAGTGGGACGTAGAGAGGGAGAAACTCTTGCAAGGGCCTTGAGCGCTGCTCTAGCGGCACCATAGGCATAGACCTCTGACCGCATCTCTGCATTGTGCACGCAGAGGCAGAACCTCATCTGATAAGAAGGCCCCACATCCGACCGGTTCGTGTGTCCTGAAGGAAGGGGGTTTTCTTTGAAGGGGTGTGTCTTCTCCAATTCTCATCGGTTCTGCCGATGTGAACAAAATGGGCAAAATACTGACGAGGTCAGTGACAGTGTTATAAATAGCAATCAGTGGTCAATCTCAAACTGAGTGGCAGTGTCCAGCATCCCGCCCACTGCATCAGGGCGTGGTCCTTGTGCGCCGACATTGCATCCATGACTACCTGGAGAGTTGGAGAGGGTCGCCAGCTATATTAACCGACCTCCGTAGGATTTTCCACACACTACGTCACTAGGTACCCTTGGAAAGAGATTCTATTTAGCCACCTGGCAAAACAAACAAGGTTAGCCCTCTCAAATCCGCATGGCACGAATCACCATATTATGAGGGTACATGAGGGAAAAAAAGGATCGACCCAGCACCACTCAAACCGATGAAGAGATGCAAAGCATAAGCCAAATGCTATAGAAACAGACGGTGCAAATGTTGCCGCCCCAAAGATTCGGCAATACCCGGCCTGGATGCCCCCGCGGGACACCACGGCTTGCTGCTGTTGACTGTTGCAGGCCGCTAAATTCCGCAGGACGCCACAACCCATGACCTGGCCGGTCCCATGGACCGAAAGTACGGCTCAGGTCCAAGCGGTTTATTGTACGGCTGATCTTGGCAGCCTTGCCAAGTAAAGCCCAATCTCACAGTAAGTGTATGTAAGTGTCCTTTTTGAAAGTCCACCAGTTCCCAGAGTCCCCATCCGCCTCGACTGCACAATGTAAAAATAACGACTGTACCCTGTTTTCGAGCAACCGACTCCTCTTCTGCCGACCCGCTTGCAGTCATCACCCGTTTTCTTCATGATATAATTGTTGTGTTGGGATCCTTATCTGCACAGTGCATTAAAGCTTGCCGTGCTCGGTGGATGCCAATCATCAAAAAAAGCGCCCTGTGCGACACTTAGCAACCGTTAGAGTCTATAGATGTTGCGGAGTTGCGGGGCTTCCATGTCTAACAGCTTATCTCATCTTATCTCTCGGTCTGATTTCCTCCTCTTCCAATCAAATACACCTTCCATTGGAACTTCATAATCCTCCCAGCCTGGAGATTTGGAAGCTCCGGGTAAGACTCCATAGCTCGGAGCACCACCTGGATTCCCCCGCGCACGTAGATGTCCTCCTGGCCTTACACATTCGCCGATACCGCTGGTGTTTTCGCTGATGGTTTCACATGCACAACTAATTGACTTTGACATATGGGAACTGTATGATCTTGACGAAACGGTGGAACCATCCAATTTGGAGGGCTGTGAAATATGTTGTCTGTTTTGCTTTCAGACAAAATTGGGCGTGTCATTTGTGCGCGGGCGCCCGCTCGTCGGATTGGCTTCACGTCCGGGCTGCTCTCAGCATTGAAGGCTGCAAACTCCTTCAAGGCCTGACATCCCAGCTCCTGGCGCAGGGCGCATTCAAGAATGATGATGAAAACTGCATAATTGATTGTATTTGAAGATACTTCTTGGCAATAATATTGGTATGTCTTACCTGTGGCCATCACAAATCTCGACATGTCTCCCCTGCACTTTCAACAATCCGGCCATTCAAACACCACAACAATTACAATATATGCTGTATATATATATATACAATCAGAATCAATCAAATAATACACAGCATCGCATCTTTTCAAAAGTGTATGCAAGTCTGTAGGTGTAATCAATAAATATACATACATATAGATATATATATATATGATATATGTATGTATATATATATCATCGAAGTGTCCGATCTGTCCCAGGCTCTTGAGGATCCACTGGTTTCATGGTTTCTTCAAAGTGGGTCATGGGTCGAGGGCCCGGTCGCCGCTTCTGTCATACCCGCGGCCTCTATCCCTATGTCAAAGCCCTATTCAATGCCTAAGTCACGCCTGAGTCTGAGTAGTGAACCCACTGTAAACGCAATACCAAACACAAACTGCACTGATTGCTAGGAATATTGATGCTGGGGAGTTACCCAACACTCGCCCACCTGAATGGTCGCAGAAGCACAATGCGCCCGCATGGCATCCAGCACTGCCTTGATCAAACACTGGAAAAGCTACACACTGTGCGCTCAGAAAAGGCACAGGTGGCTCCTAGTCACCACCATCCATCACATTAGAGATTTTCTCACCTGCCTGGTGTTTCCCTTCTCAGAGTCTGGACATAGCCTGAAAATGTCTGAAGGAAAGGATGTCAATTATTTGAGGTATTACCCACTAGGTCACCTGCTCAATGTTGTGGGATGCGAACGACACACGTTTTCTACGAGGATGGCACCTGAGCAGCTCCAGACTTGGCAACCTTCCTTAGTTGTCCGGAGTTGCCATGCGGTTGCACCTCAAGTGTCTGGTGGGTCTACCATTATTGGGATTTATCTGGAGGTCCTCCCATCGATGTTCCTGTGGGAAAGCTCCAAACAGCCATTTGTGTTGCTAGTAAACTGGTGAATGGCCGTATCCGGAGCAGATCACATGTGCAAAAGTGCTGGCAGGGGTCTCTTGGCAATGGGCATCGTGCTTTGCAACGTTGCACAGGATTTTGCACCCAGCTGCCTGCAAGTCTGCCTCACCAACAACGGATCTCTCCATTCCACGATGGCTCCCTGTCCATTACGTATACCTGGCTGTTAAGTTAAACCGATTGCTACATACAGATATAACATAACACGTATTACATTTCTATGAATTATGCATAAATCTGGACTGTGGAGCGTAGAAATCTACAAACATCTCGCTTGATGCCTAAAGTGGAAAGCACCACAGGGCGCCTTACTCAGACTCTGAGCCATAGCGTTGAGGATGGCATTGATGCCTTGCACATTGACCATGGCTTTGGTATGCGCAGGATCGCCCGAGGTCATCCTGGCCGTCTGCCGATCAGTGCTACAACACAAAGGACCCTCTCATGGCATGAGCACCCTGTACCAAAATTGCCTAATGAACAATTCAAAACCCTTTGTATACCCAATTGGCGGCATTCAATTTGACTCATTGTATGACACGAAAAGTGGCATTGCTGGCCCAGGCTCTTCTCCAGGATGTTCATGGCCGCCAGCTGTACTTCCATTTGATGCTGTTCCATCGCCTTTACCTGATCCAATTCGACAAGCGAGACAAATTGATGCGACAAAATGCAAGATGTGGGATGACGAAGTGTTTTGCTTCAAGGCCAAGCCGCAATCATAGCAATACCATCCAGCCTGGCCACCTCATGCCGTTTTGGGGTGACCCATGTCAACATGCATCATCTGCCGCGTTTGCCAACTTGAATCCAATTCAAATGCTGCAGGCGTTTGGGATGTCCAGCCTCAATGTGGCTCTTGGGATCTTCAACACAGAGGTTCAAGGCGTCGAATCCTGGCGACATAACAAGCTTCGACGCAGCTCTCGACTTCGTCATATGGGTGTTTGATGGTGGTTGTGTGCGTGTGCGAATGTACACCACAATGGAGAGAGCCCAGAACCAACACTTTGCCAGAACTCTTGTGCAGGTCCACGGGTGTCCCATACCGTCCCATCTTTACACAAACTACACCATGATGCCCTACACGCCTATTATGGCTATGAGATCGGAGTATCCTGCTCTTTGGAGCGAAATGACAAACATACACTTGGTATGGGTTTATTACGGTAGCAGGGTCCACTGATGAATGTGCCACCCCATCTAGCAGTGCAGCATCTAGCAAGCTTGGCTCCACAGGAAACCCGGCCTTTCTCCTGCACCTGTGGATTTCCCACAGACGCTTTCATCGCCTTGATGACGTCTTCAACGTCCATCCTTGACTTCGCTACAACAGAGGTGGGTGCCCCTTCAATACTGTACATGTCAGGCATGTCAGGCATGTCTCGCTGCAAATCGAGCATCTGAGAAAGGTCTGTGCCGTTGGCAGGGTCTTCATGGATTCGCCCTTAGATAAACAGTCGATCGGCTGAATGGGTGTTCCTTTGCATGTGCCTTTGCTTGCGGCAGATTGGTGCTGCTGGTGTCATTGAACCTTACACTTCTTACATTTGCAGTTTTCCGTCAAGGTGGAGAGCACGCAGTGCCCAACCCAGGAGGCAGATCCAATACCGACCAAGAACTCCTGCTAGTGGTCCTGTCTCCTTCCACAACCCATTACCATCTCTACCGATCACTCTTTGTTGCGAGGACAAAATGCCCACACTAAGTCCAAGGAGAAACTGCCATTTAAATTTCATAAATTTCATGAAAATTCCACATGCATTGAGCAAGCTCAACACCGCTGACACCACTTGAATCGGCTTCAAAACAGCCCTCATCAACCTCACCTTCCCAAGACCATGTTCTTCCAAAAACAGAAGTCTTCGCGCAGTCTTTCAGGCACAATGTAACGATGCAATGCCGCCTATGACCTCATGCCTCCCCAAGCTGCTGTAGTCCCTCATGCCTGATTGACCAGCTCCACTGCCCAGGCTCGGCCAGTTCGACGCGGCCTAGGTCGGTGGCGGCTGCGCCCGGCACGGCCGCACTTCTCGTGCCAAACGCCGACCTCGATGAGCCGGGCAAACGCCGACACTTGGCAAACCTCCCGTGAGTGGATGTGAGTCTGATGGCTAGTTAGTGGCTGGGTTGCTGGGTTGATGCCTATTCTCTTTGGCTTTGGATCGTCCTATGTCCTATGTTGGAGTGGGGCACAGAGCGAAGTGGCGGTTCTCGCGTTGAGCTTTGAACAAGAATCAGAAAAGATGCATTATTTAGGAGGGCCAGCCTGACAAAAGCCACCATGACTTTGCCAAGAGACTGGAAGGGTCTGAGTATTGATCGTAGATGTCTCTTGAATGAGATCCTGCACTGTCGCGCCCATGGTCTTGTGAATGTGTCCTTGCGCGTGTCGGCACAAGGCGACAACACACTACGATCTGATTCCGAGCACATGGCTCATCGATGTCGCTGGTGCCATCCTCCGGCTAGGACCCTGTCTTGATGATTGGTCAATGTTAACCTGCTACTTGGGGGCCATCTTACTGGCTTGGTCACATCAGCATCTCCCTCAACATGCCCAAAACTGCCTGAAACGGTGTTCACATGTGTTAACATGTGTTCACTATGTCCCGCATTGCTCTGCTCAATCCCCTTCTGCAGCTCCCTGCAGCTCTCAAGCCGGCCAAGGAACAGGTCTCTGCAAAGGCGAAGGCCAGGACTTGCTTCTCACTCGAGCCGCTTTTCGCTACACCAGAAGACCCGCGTCAAACGACGCGTGTGATCGGTGGGCCGGGCGGGTGCACGGTCTTTCGATGTCTCGCCCAGTGCGCCAACAGTGATCCAGGCAACACCATGATTTGCCAATCCAATTTGCACATCAAAGCGGGAATGTTAGAGGGGCCCAACCACGGAAAAGAATTGCGACAAAACAGCAACTTCAAATAGGAGATGGATAAAGCCTTCGACGTAGGCATGTTTTCCTGCTTTTGCAAAATGCTGAGGCGCCCCAAGTATCCCCATGTGACACCAAACGTTCTTCGCGGACCCTGTTCATCCACTTTGATGTCGGCTACTTGACATGGAGGCTCGTGCCCCTAGCAGTCGCCAAGAGTTCTTGTGCTCTTGCACCATGCCACCTCCATCTGCTGTCTCCATCCAGAGGTGCCCAACTCCAGCTTCACCTCATGTGAATCATTGTACATTGTAAATCTGGCTTGGAACCTGCGAAACCCTACTTTGGAACCTTCTTGAGTTGAAGTTGGTTCGCTTGTTGATCATCTTAGCTGCCAATCATCTCAAACATCCTCAAACACAAACTGCACTCATGTTCAGAGGCAACTATACGGGTATTTCGAGATTGCAATGAGCAGAGTTCAGAGAAACACCCACCTCGTCGTGTGCGGCTGTGAGGTCTTCCGCTAGCGCCACCAGGGCACCCTGGATCTTCTTGGCCCTGGGCGTCCAATCCGATTGCAAAGGGCTAGGACCGCAATGGGTCTTATACAAGAAACATCAACAAACCCCTAACAAGCAGGCTCACCCACAGCCATGCCACTGGACACTGTGTTTCTTTTTGGGCAAGCCCCTGAGAACAAGACCAAGCCATTGCTTCTGTTGAATCCTTGCCAAGCCGCAGAAATAGGTGAAATAGCACAAATGCACTCACAAATGCATACGTGATCATAAATGGAATATGTGGAACTTGGTGTTGAAAAAGAAATGCCTGCCTTCACTGAGTCTTCGTCTTCAGACCTCAGTGTCACAAGTCAAGGACAGCTGACGTGGTGGGTTCTGGAGCACATGGCCCGCTCAACTTCGAAGCAAACTTGAGGAAATCAAAGTCGACAAATCTTCACATTTAAGCATCCCCTGAGTCCCCTGAGTTCAATCACCTTGTTCGTTCCATGGTGAGTTGTGTTTTGCATTGGTTTGTTTGCCTCACCGTCCGCTGGGCGCCAAACAATCTGCAACCAGCATGGCAATCCTGGCAAATCAACCAATCAGTCTCAGTGGGGCCATGAGGGGGAAGCTTGATGCCAGTTGCCATGACATGAGCGTCGATTCAAGACCACATGCCCACCTGTTGCACTGCCTCCAGGTGTGAAAGCTGAGGTCGTAGGAATGCATCTGACCTGGAAAAACAGGCCAGGAACAGCAGAGTCCAATGTTTAACAGGCTCGCAAAACTTCGGAATAGAATAGATACATTCATGATGAAAGCCCTGCTCCAATTCATCCGGCTGTTGTGCCAACTGCGCCATAAGTTCCAACAGCCGGACCAACCTCGCAAGCGACAGGGACGGAAACAACCGCAGCAACCCATTTACGCCAGGAGCGCTCCCAGCAATCACAAGCAGCCCTTGAGGCACGCAAAGCCATCGAAACTGCTTCGTGAGGCTCGATTTCCTTGCAAATCTAGCGTCAAGCCTTTACAAACGCAGCATGTCTCAAATAGTCGGCGAATTGCCGGATGCACAGTAGGCGGGATGTGGCACCATCTAAGGCTGCAAAATTCCAAGGATTGAAGTCCTTGACTTCCAATAGAGTCGGCAAAGCCATCTGCAGCCTCTGTTGATGTGAGAAAATGTGTGTTTCCTTCCAGGTCCAGCTTCGAAAGACGCGAAGATTTCAGTAAAATGCCAATTGCACTCGTAGATTTCTCAGTCAGCTGGCATCTACTCAAACACAGGACCCGCAAATTCGGGCCCGTGGCAGCAGATGTGAGTGATGAGACAAGAGCATGAACTTCTTGGTCATTTCGGAGGTTCACATTGGCCAAATCGAGTTCGGCAATGGTGTGAACGCCTGCAAGTAAGTTTCGAAGGCCCGTGCGGCCCACTTCTGACAATCGAGGCTGGCAGTCAAAATTGAGATGCGGCTGCTTTGCTGTGAGAGATTCTGCCAAGTGATTCCGACCAATCAGTAACGCATTTCGGTAGAAGGGATCGTTCAAGTTGCAGCATAAAGAAAGGCGGTCACTCCAGAAATGGTTGTCCGATCCCAACGCCAAGGATCGAACAAAAAGAGCTTCTTGAAAGCTGAGATGGCTAAATTGAAACTCACCTGTCAAGTGGCCTAGGGTTAAGATCTTGACCAATGGAATATGTCCATCTTCCAGCAATTCGGACCACAGTGTCAATAACTGAGGCTTCTGTTGGAAGACCTCTTGGAGATCATCTACCTGGAACGTCCGCCGCTTGGCTTTGTGGTTGGCAACGGCTATCATTTCCAACATCTCAAGGGCAGTTGCAACTTGCTCCTGATCCAGCCGTCGTTGAAGAGTTGTAAGCATGCCCATCTCATAAAGCTCGTAGATGTCCGCTGGCAATCGCTGAACCTCCAACGCGAAAGCGCACGCCAAGACTGAGAGCAGGACAGGTATGCTGCAAATCTCCTCAAAGACATCCATCCGCGCCTCAAGCATGGCATCAAATGTGCCCTCTTCGGGCCTGCTGTGCGAAGAAGCACGCAAGGCGTTGCGCAAAAAGGCCAAATCGTCTTGTGCCGCTGAATGTCTGAAAGCAGCTAGACACCCACAATGATGGACTTGCACTTGTACAGGGTAAGATGTCTCTTGATAGACCAAGTAGAGTTTGCAGCTCACATAGCGCAGTCGAAGAAGCCCAGGGTTTTGAAACTTTGAGGCTACACCAGCTGCTTGGAGTTTGGCAGGTTCACCATCAACATGGGTTTGAAAATCTGAGGTCAAGGCCTTGATGACTTTCACAAAGGACTCGGAGGAAGGGCACACAAAGTCGGATTGAATCATCCCCGTCTTCTGGGAGTGCAAGCTCAAGCGACGTCTCATGTCCTTCGGGTTCCCAGCATCACCTTCCCGCAGCTCGAGTGGAAGTTGTAGTGCATTCGCATCTAGCCCTGCTTCACTCAGCAAGCGGACTGCAATGCAAAAAAACACTGCTGTCAAAACTTCATGGTCAGGAGAGTGGGTGGACTGAGGAGCCGCTGTACCACACGTTGCTTGCAATGCCTTTTCGATCTGCTCAACTTGCTGCGGAGAGAAGCTGTCCTTGAAGGTCTTCTCCTGCTCTCTTCTGGCTCCATGAAAAGCCAACAAGTGTCTGAAGAAGTTGTTCTTCTGCAATTGCTTCTCGATGATTTTATGCTGCTGATCTTGGCCCAGTGGTTTCAGGTTCATGATGACAAAATCTCGAGAGTACAGCCTCTTGCGGATGCCTTCAGGTCGAGAAGTCACAAGCAAAGGCACGCCCATTGGCACCAGTGTCTTTGTGACGTAGTCCTCCACCGCCAGCTTCATGCTGGCTGCCTCGTCGATTCCATCGAGCATGACAATGAGACTACGCATTTCAAAGGCTTGCTCCAACAGCCTCCTCGTCCTTCCATCCGAAAATTCGGCTTGAATGTAGAAAAGAACCAAATTGGAAGGATAGCCTTCCTCAGAGTTGGCTTTTCGCAGCATTCGAGCCAGCTTCTGGATAGGAATCAGCAGGGGCACCAATCGCAGCTTGCTGTCTTTCTCTGGACGACTCAACTCGCTGGCTAAGAGAAACAGCAGCTGCTGCATCGACCACGTCTTTCCTGTCCCTGCCCCAGCCCGGATAAGGACGGGCTGTGAAGAATGAGCTCCATGGAGTCGACCCTGTAAGCGACATGGGTGCAAGAGCAACGGCACAATCTCCGCAATATCCTGGACTTTGGCAAAGCTACGGTCTTGGACCCCAGCAATAGCTTGCGCTCGTTTGATGGAGGAGGCATGCAATGCCGGAGAGGATGAGCCATCAGAGAACTTCACCATGTAGCGGTTGTGCTTTTGTAAATGCTCGATGGTGCCCTCACGTCCCTGCGCCCACACACGCTCTCCAAGGCGGAAGCTGCTATCTGAGACCCATTCGAGGTCATCAAAGGGCATGTGCCTGAGAGTTTCTGCGTCGCTTTGACGCCTCACCTGCATTTCCACTCGCACGATCTGCTCGGAAATGTCCACACGATTTCCAGTGATCGCATCCTCAATGTACCGACCGTCCTCCATGATCTGTCTGCAGTATGCCATGCGGGCTTCTTCAAATTCTTGAGCGCTCGAAAACCGTTGAAGGCTGTGGTTCATCTCGTTGAGGTCAAATTCCTGCCGTGTCCCGTTGTGCACGACGATGTGACGAAGCAAGTTCTGCTTTCTGGCAGACTCTTCCACTTCAGCATGAAGTAGATGTTCACCATCATGAAGGAGTAGGATCTGAATTCCTGGCGCCCTTGCAATTGAGCTTGCAGCAACCACCGTTCGCGGGCGTGGGTCTATGATCTCCTCCTCTCCATTGTCCACTTTCACTAGGACCTCCCCTGTTTCAAGCTGCTTGACCAAGGTGGCCACTCTGTCCTGCACTTTGATGGATGATGAAAGGCCCAAGCGAAGCCCAGGCTCCGAAGCAGCATAGGCTAGCTTGGTGGGCTTGACCCGCAACCGAACACTGGGCCCGGTTTTCCTGCCATGTGACCCATCTGCATCAGATCGATGCAGTAAGATCTCTGCCGTGCACATGCTCGCACTGTCCAAAATGCCAGCAGCATCCTGCCAACTGGTCTCAATCCATTGCAAGCGTCCATCAAAACCATCCTTCTCTGCGTTCAGAGCCCTAGCCTCATCCAAGGTCAGCAAATTTCCCAGCTTCATCCGCGAATCAGAATCAATCGACCCGTCCACCAAGTTGATGGGTCCAACCATATCACCAGATATGTCAGACAAAATGCCTTTGATATTGAATACAAAGGCACCTTCCCACCTAAATAGAAGTCGCAAACCAGGTTGCCCCTGCAAGGCCAAACGCTTTTGCTGGAGTTGCTCGGCTTCGTCCTGTGCTTCTGCCAAGTGTGATAGTGCTGGAGGTAAGGAATGCGCAAAAGACCATCGCCGCCAAGTCCGCGCGACGTCGCCTTCCTCTCCCACCAAGTTTGGCAAATGAATCGATGCCTCACAAGCTGGAGGCTTGTAACGTCCGTGCTTCACCAAGATGTGACTGGCAGAAACCGTGGTGGAAAGAATTCCTTTGCACTTTTTCCTGGCCATGATCAAATGATATCCGGCATCTGTTTCCACAGGCCCCAAGGGAACTCGAAGTTCCAGCTCCGGATCAAAGAGCACAGCCTCAATGGCCGGATGCATCTGACCTCTTTCGACCTCACCTAAATCACCCCCGTTTGATCTGGTGCCAGGACAAGCAGAGAAGGCCGTGGCGTTGTTGGAGAAATCCTCTGGGCTCTGGACCAAAGGGATCAGTGCAGCACAAAACTGCTGAGCGTCCAGCGGTCCCTCCATTGAAGCTTGCTCACTCTGCTCGGCCTCACCGGGAATGTGTAGACCCCACAAGACCTCAATGTGCTCTCTCTGGAAGGGTTCTTGACAGCAAAAGGCGGGTATGAAATAGTCATCCTTACCCTTGTTGACCATCAAGTCACCCGGCAGGAAAAGATTGTCCCACAACAAGCAAAAGTCAGCAGTCCTCATGGCTTTCATGCTGAGGAAGCTGAAAAGCTTCTCAAATTCGGCTTGGGCCGCATCCCGAAGTACTACCACCTCTCCAACATAAACAGCTGCCTTCTCCAGGTTATCTGCTTCGCCTTCTAGGTGGTCAGCCATCGAGCTGAGAGCCTCCTGTGCCGCTGCCAAATCTCTCTGCAGCTGGGAGACCTGCTCATCCAACGTCTCCAAGTCATGCACAACGGTCTTCTCCAGCCTGGCAGTGCCCATGGCATCTTTGGAGATCGCCTTTCGCACATTTTGGAAGCATGGCCGCAAGTCTTTGAAGAACTGTTCTGCTTGGCAGGGCATTTGCCTACAGAAGACCTCGAAGATGAAGTGGCGCAAGTCTTTGCCGTCAAAATCTTGAATCCCTTGCAGCTTACTCATCTCGCTCAAGTCAAAACCATCTGCCTGCCCTCTTGCTGTTCCTCCATTGAGGTAGTTCCCAGTCGCCAGGACCAGCGCCAGGAAATCTGGCAGAACCTCTGAACAAAGGAAACATTGTGCAACATCAAGAAGATCCTCCAAAGGTTTGGAACATGCTTCCAATGTCTTCGAGTAGCTTGCGACGAAGGATGTCAACACTACATGAGGTTCCTGTTGCAAACTTCGAGCTTCTTCAGGGTCCTTCAACGTCTCTGGATCCTTCACATTGGGCAAGGCCTCACCTTGGCTTTGCGTCGCACTGGGTTCATGCTGGAACTTGGCCTCCTTGGCCAATCTTTGCTCTTGAGCTTCCGCAACTGCTTTGGCTGAGAATCGAGGCAGTAATTCTGCCTGGGGGATGGGAGACGCCACTTGGGCCTGCACGGCATTCCAGACACTGTGACCACTTGACACCTCAATCTTTGTCCAGGGAAGCGGGATCAGCTGCAGCTGGCTCAGGTGGCTCGTACTTGGAGAAGCTTCTGCAGGCGAGCCTGCCGGCGATCGGGACAGCTGCCTCTGAAATGGAGGATCTCCTTCTTCTCCAAAGGTGCCATATGTCCGATCTAACTCCCAAATGGCTTGGAATTCTTGCACACTAAAGGTCTCGCCCTGACAGAAAAGCTCCTCAAAGGTGTTGTTCTTGTATGCATCCTGGTGACGTGCCACAAGCAAATCAGGGGGCAGCAAGAAGTTGTCCCACATGAGACAAAAATCGGCACTCCTCGTCTCGGTCATCTGGAGCCACTTCAAAAGCTCACCGAACTGCACTTTGAGAGCATCCCTTTGTTGACCCACAGCAGCCATAGATGCAGTAGCTGTAGTGAACTCTCGTTGCAAACGGCGCTTCACTGGATCAGTTGCATCAAGAGGCTCCAAGCATCGTTGGAGCTCGTCCTGCACTCTGCAGAGCTCTGCCTCCAACCCAGAGAGGGCCTCATCGCATTCTTCCAATGTCAAGTGAACCCCTTTGCTCACCTTTGCTTCGTCGTTCAGGACCTTCCGACTCACGTTCTGCAACATTGGGCTAAAAGCTTCAAGAAAATCAGCTGCTCGACTGTCTACTGAATCAAAGAACTCTGAGAAAATCCAATGCTGCAAACTTGAGTTATCAGCTCCTTTTACTTCATAGAGCTCTGGAAGCAGCTTGAGATCGAAGGCTGCGGCGTCTCCGTCCACAGTGCCTGAGTTCAGCCAGTTGCCCGTGGAGAGGATTGAATAAAGCAAAGCTGGGAGAGCCTCACAGTTCAAGAGGCTGGAAAACATATCGCTGAGATCCTGCAAGTGTTCAGTGTGATGCCTGACCCGTTCACGGTAGGTCCTCACGAAATGCCACGAAGCCATGCGCTCAGCACAGGCCGGGATCTGGGAAACTGCGAGCCAGTATTCTTCCATGCGACCCAGGCGAGCATGCGGCTGAAGCTCCATCGCACTTTTCAGAGCTTCTAGGTCCTTCATTGAGGCCGGCACATGCTGTTGAAGTCGTTCAAGCTCATCAAGCGCCAAGCAACGGTCATCCAAGTTCATCAGACTTTCTGCCACTTCCTTGGGTGGTGGCAGCAGCCGCAGCTCCCGGTCATGGGAGGCGTTGCTGACTCGAATCACCGGGATGGTCTCTAATTCAGCTGCCTGAGAGCATGGCTTCGCAGGCTGAGTCTTGCTGAACCTCGTCTCAAATTCCTCAATGGGTAAACATTTGGTCGCATCTTCGATCTTCTCCCAGATCGATCCAGCAGCCTTGATGTCAGATCCTAGCAAGAGCCTCCTCCACCACAGGGGTTTCATTGCTTTTGTCGGGCTGATCTCAGGCTTTGTCGTGGAGCTCGAGCTTCCCTTTCCTTTGCCTTTGGGCCCTTTGACCGCACTGGCATCTGACTTCGGCCCCTTGGCACCCTTGCCACCTTTGCCTTTGGCGTCCATCAGAGCTGCAGATTATCTCTGGGCACCACTTCCCTACATGGCTCGAAGAGGCATGGATGTCCGATAGAACATTTGATGAGAAAAAAGGTGTGTCAGACCTAGGCTCTGTGCGAAAGCTTACGGTACAATCATGTACAATCCATGTCTTGATTCTATGTGCAGGGCGAACTAGGCTCATCGATGTGTTTGCGAAAAGGCTTTGGGATCATCTGCTTGAAAGTAAGTAATGGCTATTCCATTGCCAGGCACATCACCAGTAGCTGATTCCTTCACATCCTTTCCACAAGTAGCTGAGCAGGGTGGCCCTGCATCTGTCATCCAAATTTTAAATGTATTTAGGGGAGTCTCCCATGGAGGAGCGCTTCGCCATCGGTTCATTCGAGTGATATTGACGGATTGCTTTCCAGGTTGCCACTCAGTGCGCTACCTGGGTGGGATGCTCACCACCCCTGCATCAGCATCACAAAGGACCACACCCTGCCTGTCGGTGCGGCCACGAATTGTCAGGTGGCCGAGTCAAGAAAGGCGAGCGAGACATCTGTTCAATTCATATTTTTGGACTTTTAGACCTAATCTAGTGATACCGGCGTGGTGTCAAAACCAAGCAAAGCCCCAAACCAATAATTGCTGGAGCTGCTCCACCTTTTTCACGGGGCAACCAAGGCATGAGTCATGAGTGAGGGTCTTGAACTATAGCCTTCTGTGCTACGAGTGCGGGCCTTTTCTGACAGGGATGCAGGGATTGGCACATGAGAAAAAAAACACACAAAAAAACGGCCCAAACATCCAAACCCTTGACCGTTTTTTTTGTGTGTAAAGTCTCAAAGTCACGGCCCTGAACATTTCCGCACGGCATTTTGCGGGCACCTGGCTGACGTAGTGCCCAACATCCCACGTGGGGTGAACCTGAGCTGCACAACTGCACATCGTCTTCCCCCGAAGTTGAGCTGGCATCGTCTGAAAAATAATTGAGAAAGGTCATGGAAGGCTTGGAGAGTGAACTTCCTGTGCTCTCCCTGCTTACACCTGAGGGAATCATTTGTTGGCAAATGCCTTCGCATTTTAGCTTGCAAGCGAAGTCTTGACGGCCTGAAGACCCTCAAGCAGTGCAAGCAAGCCAGCATCCGGCAAGGTGGATGCAAATCGATCAGGCGAGGTGTTTGAAAAGAAGCATTCAAGGTCAATAATAGTCATCAATCATTATATAATCTATCTTCAAGCAATGTTCTCCGATTGTCACCAAGAAAAGCTCAATGTGATGTAAGTGTCAGCATCTTCAGAATGCCGTAGGATGTCGTTAGCCTCAATTACAGTCACAAGTCACGAAAGAATGTCACGGCCAAGCTCAAGCTCGGTATATCTCAGCTACACCTGGCCTGATTGCACAGTGCTAAATGGAGCATTTCTGCACAAAACAGAACAAAGACAATTCAGACGATGCTGCAAGCATCACATCGGCGAATAAGGCTACGCCTTAAATATCTCAAATGGCCGGCTACCGCATTCAATTAGTGGGATGCCCACTGATAAATTTCGGGCGACCCATATTGGGGATGTCAGAGCGCGAGCCAACCTGCGACTGAAGGAGCGGACCTTTCCGTCGATACCTTTGTGACTTTGACATTCCTACCGGAGAATGCTCTAGGTTCCTCTGAGACATCACCTGATCTGATTCCAAGTTGACCTCTCAAACCACCCTGCAATACCCTACGACCCTGCTCGATATGCAATCCATTCTAAACGCCATGTGACCCAAGTGCCCCTCCTGCAATGCCTTCGCCACGCTTTAGTCGGCTTGCCCGGCCTTGCTGGCTGGAAGCTCTCCGGTTTCCATATTGCGAGATTCACAATGCAATGAATGTACCTGAAGTCTGAGCCTTTGACATCTTGTGGTTTAATGTCCGCAAAAAAAATTAAAAAAAAAAAAAAACAAACTTGCAAACATTTGTATACAAATTTACAAACTATGCAATTCTAAAATGCAGAAACTCCAGAAGCCTCTTCAAGTCTCCAAACCGTTTGTGTTGTCTTGACTCCGCCGTTCTGCGCCTCCCGATCCGGACGCTTGGCCAACAGTTTGGTCGTCTCAGTGGGGTCCTGGATCTTCCAAGCAAATTCACACAAATGCCGCATGGCCGTATGGGAAAGCAAATGGCAACGTGGAGATTCTTGTCACTAAGTCACTTCATCATGCTGGTAAAGCTGGTAAACCAGTTAAACACGCATCACGGCAATTGCAGGGGATGTTGTCTTTGTTTTCTACCAATCATGACAGCGCTGCCGTGGAGCATGCAAACTTTCCTCAGAAAGAATGCTCACTCACAGGCCCCCACCGACGCCAACACACGCGTCAGTTGTCGACACATGAGTGACCTTGCTAGCGACTCTTGACAGTCTGATCTCGGGCATCAATCAGAGCCCTCAACTTCATTTCACACTGTTCTTTGCCTTCACATCCGTACCGGTAGCCGAAGCTAGCCAGCCTAATACTATTGGTTGCTTCCTCCCCCTCACCAAGGCCATAGCCCCATTTGATCATCAGTTTCTCCACATCCTCGCTCGTGCCGTCACCATTTTGGTGCTGCAAGGGCTCAGCATCGAAGGTGACGTCAGACAACCTTTTCCAATCAAAATGTCTTCCAGGAGACGCGTAGCGGTTGGGGGGCATGCAAACCTCCGCCAGCCCGAGGATGTTCCAGGGCTTGATCTGATAGGCCTCGCCAAGTCTCCCGTCACGAACAAACCGTTGTTTTCAACAGGCTGAACTGACAGAGCGACACAAAACACACCTCTATAATCCTCTATATAGACCCTAAACTTTGACGCCCAACATCGTCCAACCACGAGCTGTTTCAGAAATCAGGGAAAAGCAGTTGGGACGGCAATCTCCATACCATGTACCTTTTCAATCACCCTGCTCAAGCCCAGCCTTCTGTAGATCACTGATAAACTCCACAAGTGTCTTGTACTGCTGATCAGTGAAGTGGCTTTGGTGATCTTCATCCTGATCTTTGTCTCCATCCCCTTCCAAAGCCACTGAAATAGAATAATAGTGGACTTCGCTCAGCGTGCCGACGCCAGGGAACGAATACGTGGGTGGAACCCCATGCCAGCATGCCGGATTGCCCCACCAGGCACACAGCTCCGCCTTGACAAATTCCTTCAGTTGGCCATCCTTGGTGATGACATAGTTCGGCCCCATGCCTTCAGGGTGATACTTGAGTCTTGAGGTTTGAGATTATCTTGAGTACAAGTTCGAGGCTGATTATTGAGTTCTGAAGCTTGCGCCCCTTGGGGGCTCGCATTTACCTCAATCCGACGAAGCCTGGCCTGACTTTTCGAACAGTTCAATCTGCGCATCCAGATCCCTTCCCTCGGTGCAACCAATGAGGACCAGCTCTGGCTTCTCAATGGGTGTCTTTGTCACCCGGTTGATTCGCCCACGGGTCGGCGCACGGATGTCACGAGGTCTGTCTTCAGCACGCTGTGCCGGAGCAACATCAAAGTGGCTGTAGTGTTTCTGAAACTGATGAATCCTTTGGTTCACCCTCGCTTCTTCACCTTCTTCAATGGGCAAGTTGACGCTCACTCTACCGTCTGTTGGTGCAGTAGCGATTGAAGTGTTCGCAGTCTCAGTGTTCTGGGTCGATCTTTCAAGCTGGTCGTGCCACTCTGACACAATCTTTTCAGCATTCAGACAGGCCTCCCAGAGCTTCTGGAGCGCAGTGGGCTCATCCGGCTCATGCTTTGCCAAAGCAATGCACGCGGCTTTGAGGCGGTCCACAAATATACGAAACTGGTAGTTCGGATCCACCGGGTCATTCAGCAGCTCCGGATTCGCAGTCTCACGGGGCACGTGCAGTTGCACCACTGTCTTTAGTTCGTCAATGACGATTTGGAACAACTGCAGCCAAATGACCTGCTCACGTCCCTGTGGCTGCACCTGCTGAAAACGGTCCACTAATCTTCCGAAGACTTCTGATTGATGCATCATTTTTTGCAAATTCACACATGCCATGGCTCTTCGCTCCAAGGCTCTTGCCGTGCCCTGACTTGAGCCGCCCTTGCAAACTGAAACGTGCAAAAAGCAACATGCTAACGAAGCAACACTTATAGACAAGAATTGAGGTTGAACGGTTGGAACTTGAACTGTCCTCCTGTTCACATGAAAGTGAGACCAAGCCGACTGAGCTGGCCTTCGCCAGCTCCGGGACATCGCTGTCGCTGGCAGCATCCTGCTCCTGACAACACAACTGCCGCACCTGATTTTGCTTGGAGTCCGTGTCGATCGGACCATTGCTTGTCATAACATAAGGGTTACATTCTCATCAGCCTCCCTGAGTCCTCATGCTGCCTCATCTTGTCCCGAGGATATGTACAGAACAGCCTGGGCCGCAGGGCAAGCTCGTAGGACAACGGCATTTTCAGCTGTGCAGGGTTTGTGTTGGGCCTGTCTTAGAGGCAAATTCTGATTTCGTCTGAAGTCAAGGGACATTGAGAAGAAGATAGCAGAGATGATGCAAGGCACGGTGCAGGAGATACACAAGGACTTGCCCAGAGCCTGCCACAGGTGGCAACACAAAAGGGAAATCGTGGGCCCGTGGGTACATTACAATGTGTGTGCGACATACATAACATATTGACCGATAATTGACCCTTGATTGTGCGAACATGTGTGCACAATGCGTGTCCTTGTCTCAAGCAGCTCTGATTCTTGCAAGTCATTTGGGGCAAGGTTCAAGGTTCATGGCACGAAATACGGCACCTCTGCATTGCGTTCACGCATTGCAGGAGACATCGTCTCCTGAGACACGAATCTATCATTGGCCCCCGCCAACAGGATCTCCCCAATGGGCCAGCACCCAGTGCGAGTCAATGTTTCTGGTTGAACATGGTTGAACTATGCTGAACTAATGGATGTCGAGCATCAATGCCCTCGGAGCTGAGCTTGTACTTGAAGAAGTGTTGGGCTGTGAAGCCTTCAAGGCACGATGCTGGGCTCCAGTGAGTGAGTGACTCAATAGCAGAGGCTGTAGCAACATGTAGCAACTGAGCTCAGAGCCGACAAAGGTTGGGCCAATCATATTTCCACTGGTGAAGACGATCCCCACCTGAGCCAAGCCGGATCAAAGTCCAAGATCCAAGATCTAGAAACTATACAAATGGTATGAACCCAAATGCCTCAAACCAGATCTACATGTGGTTGGGAGGTCAGGGGTGGATCACGTCTTGTGATGCCTTGGAACACAACCCACTAAACTAAGCTACCTTAGATCCGGGCATTCCAAGTGAAGGCTGAGGCCAATTGTCGACGAGGCATGACATCAATCCTCATCTCCCATGGCAAACCCCTCAAACAAAACACACAAAAATTTCAGAATGATTCATTCAAATCCATGGCATCCAGGCTGATTCACCCAGAAGGCCTGAGGCGCTGGCAAGACCGGGTTTAAGCAGCCCGACACCTCCCAGCTAGAGATGATCCCTGCAAAAAAGAGCAGCCCTGCAAGCAGGACCTCGCAGCTGAGCATCTCAGCACTCCAAATAGTTAGGACTGACTGCGCTGGAACGGCTACCGGACCTGATTAAGGTCATACGGCATATGCGTGGCCTGCATTTTTTGCTCACATGTTGGGCCAATCCGAAACAGCCACTTTCTTCAAGCCAAGCGTCCTGTCCATTTGCATTCGGCCCAACCTTTGCTGCGCTTCGAGCAAACGACTGCGCAACTATGCCTACCCTGTTGAGTGCCTCAGGACCTCACGGCTGCCAATCTAAACCAAAGGGAGTGTGTGTGTAAGCCGCCATCACACACGGATGAATTGAAATCACAGACGTGTGGTGCTGATGAGACCGGTGCTAACAAAAACATGAACCTAGCACCAATGGTGGGGACCAGGGTCCCCCAGTTGTTTTATTTCTGTATATTAAATAGAGGTCCCTCAGTTATCGAAAAACATAATTAAATAAGAACTCAATGAGTTCAAACATGAATCCACTGAGGTCCAGCCAACTCAATGAGCTGCCATTGAGCTGCCATTTAATTAATTAAAGTAATAACCCAAAACATACACTTTAATTTTCTAAACTAAATGATGTGTAGTGAGAAGGGACAAATTGCTATTTAATTTTCTTGTTTAAAATAAACCAGATTAAACCAGATATCAGCTCCTTTGATTTAATTTTGAAAATAAATTGTCCTTTGGTGGGAGTTCTGAATTACCATTGGTTTAAATACTTGGCTGAATGATGCACAAACTAAACAAAGGGTAGTCCAACCCAAGCAACCGGCTATATATATATATATAATTTCTTGACCTGGCCACTTGAAGACCCAGATTGTCCTATGTTTGATTTTTTTCTTAATGTAGTAGCCTTGAACCTCACAGCAAAGGCCTCCACCTAGCTAATAGTAATGGCCTCCAACCTAATAGCGACGGCCCCCACCTAGTACAGTAGTTTCTTGCTACTTTAGTTGTTTGTGTTTTTACGCCAGGAAACCACGTAAATACCGATGGTTTTGAGCTATCGGGTGCTCAAAACCACGGTATGAACGTGCCTTGTTGGCAGCATTGGGTGTGCCACCACTGGGCCAAACAAAAATTCTGCCTGTGGGAGATGTCCACCCCACCCCATTTATCTTCGGGAAGGGCCAAAACCACCAAGAGTCTTCGAGAACCCTTCATGGAATTTCATGGAACCATGAAAATGCCAAAGGGCCAAAAAGACACCAAGGACCCAATTCTGATGTGGCTGACGCTGGCAAGGACAGTAAATTCATTGCAGGTGAACGCGCCTTGTTGGCGGCATTTGGTGTGCCACCACTGGACAAAAATTAATTCTGCTGTGGGAGATGGCCACCCCACCCCAGTTATTTTTGGGAAGGGCCGAAGCCACCAAGAGTCTCTTGAGAACCCTTCATGAAATTTCATGGAACTATGAAAATGCCAAAGGGCCAACAAGACACCACGGACCCAGTTCTGATGTGGCTGACGCTGGCAAGGACAGTAAATTCACTGCAGATGAACGTTCCTTGTTGGCAGCATTGGGTGTGCCACCACCTGTGGGAGATGTCCACCCCACCCCATTTATTTTCGGGAAGGGCCAAAACCACCAAGAGTCTTTTGAGAACCCTTCATGGAATTTCATGGAACCATGAAAATGCCAAAGGGCCACAAAGACACCAAGGACCCAATTCTGATGTGGTTGACGCTGGCAAGGACAGCGAATTCACTGTACACATCAAACGCTACATTGCGCACTGTTTTGTCTTTTCTTCAGCGATTGTTTTCAAGTTTCGTCTTGCTTTCTTGCCTCGAAAAGGGCGAACAACCGCCACAACATACCACACGTCATGCGACGCGATTGATTTAATTTTCCAGCTTCGCGTAATTAAATGGTGAAAATTAAACTGGAGGTCAGGGCGTGCCTTATTTAATTTACACACCGCAAGGAGTATACAAAAACGCTCATCAGTTACCTGTGATACAGTTGGAGACGTCCAACTGCATACCTGCAGGTTGATATCGCTGAGTTTTTCTCAAGCTGTGACCCTCCTTTTATCCAGGCTGTTGCAGGTATATGAGCATTGACCTGTCTTTGTAGTTCCCGACGATGTCACTCACATACACGATTGTTCCAAGGCCGTGGACTCAAGAGGTTCTCGGCTTTGACACCGTTCCACCGTTCCACCACCAAACAACTCTTCCCAGTGTGAATAGGGTGCATGCCAGATGTGGCGACACCGTCGAGTGCCCGACTGGTGATCTAAAGATGGCAGGGGCCTTCCCCGATGAAGTCAGGATGAAACCCACGTAGAGGCTTCATCGAACACTCCTCGCCAAAAGGGGCGTGTACGAGCTGCCATCGAGCACAAGTTCTTATGAGCCGTTCTGTTCTTGAGCTGGCCTCGGGCACAGTTGCCAGCGGCGAAGTTAGCTAAAGAGAGCGAAGTTCCTTCAGGAGCATTTGCCCGCCAGTTAGCTCCTGCGGAAACTACGTGTGGGGTTGCCCACTGTCCTGGGTGCGTGGCGCACTTTACAAGCAAACCAGGCGTTTACAACAGGTCCTTTAATGAGGTTCGGCTACTCGTCGGTTTGTCCCCTTTCATTTGTCTTCCCTTTCATGGGCCCACACAGACACACTGTTTCCTCTTTTTCTTTCATGTCCTGTCTGTCTTCATGTCATGTCATCTTCACTCTTTCTTTTCCTCTCGCCCGAACCTTTTTCAACAAACTTGACATAGGTGCCCCAGGTCCTTTCCGGCTTTGGCTTCCAACCTTCTAGCGATGACCTCCAACGTTGCAGTTTTGAGTTTTGCTTCTTGAAGCTCTGACCCCTCCGTAGAGAGGGCCTTGTATGTGTGTACACCGCTATCACACGCGGAGGAGTTGAACTCACGGACGTCTAAATTTGCTTCCAGTC